AACTGATGCCTTTTTGTTCTCCATTAGTTCACCTCTTCCTACATAACCTACAGATGACACAGTGAATTATCTAAGGAGTCTAGTGTTGGGTTAAACATAGAGGCTTTGGAGAGACAGATTTTGTGTTCAAGTTACTTAGCTTCTCAGCGTAGCCACCTGCATCTGTAATCATCCTGTCCTCACAGGGTTGTGAATAGGTGTAAATGTGTGTAGTGTGTGAAGGACATACCACATAGCCCTCTCTCTGCAGGCTATGTGCTACACTGAACAAGTGGTGGCCATTATGATATTTGTCAGGGCTGACTGCCAGCATGTTGGGTTCCCAGCAGGTGTACCCGGACCTACGGGCACATGCAGGCCGTGTTTGGTGAGGGTGAACTGCAGTCTGTATGTACACACCGCAACCTCTACAAGACGCCCCATCAACAGAGGCTGATGGCTGAGCGGAAATGTGCCTTCCCACCCCAGCATGCATGATGGGCTGCAGGTGTTCTGGCACAGAAAGGGCTCAAAATGGTGAGGAGATACAAAACTATATACTGGCCCCAGGATACAAAAACTATTTCCTCATCATCTTCACCCAAACTCTACCCAGGATTTGTGGAAAAATCCCAAAGGGCGAAACCCAGACAAACACATTGCTAATTTGCTATTTGGTGTCTACAAACACGCGGCACATCTAAGGCAACATAACGACACAGTTAAACACACACGCACACGCACACGTACAACATTTGCCAGTCATGTATAAGAGGCAAAACCCCACTTCCCAATCCTTCTTGGTCCTCCCCAGGACACATATACACACACTCCACTGAGAACAGCGTTTGTCTCAGGTGTACACATCCACTACCGTCATACCTCGTTTATAAAAACTACTAAGCCTACCCTGAGTACTGCTGCCGTGAAACCGCTTCTGGAATGGTGGCTGCAGCTTGCCAGAGGCTTTTGAGAGATGCTGATGGACAGACACCAGGGGCAAGGCCCACCTCCTCTTTTTTTTTTTTTTGGTTGGAGGTAGGATCTGGCTTCGTTGCCTGGGCTGGAGGGCAGGGTGTGATCACAACTCACTGCAGCCTCAGCCTCCCAGACCTAGGCGATTCTCCTGCCTCAGCCTCCTGAATAGCTGGGACTACAGGCACGTGCCACTACACTTGGCTATTTAAAATTTTTGTAGAGACAGGGTCTTGCCATGTTGCTTAGACTAGCCTCAAATCACTGGGCTCAAACCATCCTCCCACCTTGGCCTCCCAAAGTGCTGTAATTATAGGTATGGGGCACCATGCATGGCTGGTAAGTCCCTTTAATTTTCTAATAGACTTAGGAGGTAGGCATCAATTTTGCCTTTTAATGAATGAAAAAACTGAGACTCAGAGAAGTAATGTGCCTAAGCTCATACAGCTGATAATAATAATAGCTAACACTTGTGGGTTTACTGTGTGCCAGGCATTTTCTAGAGGCTTTACATGAATAGGCTGATCCTCACAAAAGCCATAGAAGGTAGGGGCCAGTATGATTCCCACTTTATAGATGGCGGAAACGGAAGCACAGAGAAGTTAAGTAAATTGCCCAAGGGCACAGCTAATAACTAGAAGGCCTAGGTTTGGAAGCAAGGTAGCCATGCTCTTAACTGGAGATGAGGTTTGAATCAGGGTCTGACCCCAATGCCCAAACTCTCTCCGCTCTACTGATGACCACATGGATTTCTGCACCCCAGTAACTTACCTGTCGGCTGTGTCCTGGGCTGGATATACTTGAAGGACTGGATTGTGACAAAGCTAGGCTGCTGTTTTTCCCAACCTGAAAGACATCAGTGAAGCCCCCACTCAGACAGGTGAGCCAGCCTGGGGAGGGCCCGCCGATGCCACATGTTGCCAGGGGAAAGAAGGGCTGCACAATGTGTGCTTCATTCCCTCACACTGGCTTGGAACAGGTGTTTCCATCGTAAGAGGCAGAGAAAACGAAAATGTTGCAGAGGGTGCCTCGAGATGCCCTCTCCTTCCCAGAGGAAAAGTGGAACGGTGGGGAACTCTTCATACTGCTCCCTCGCTGGCCAGACCTCAAGGGGGAGGGATGAGGACGAAGGCATCTGGGGAGAAGCCTGGCCCCTCCTGGGAGCACTTCACTCGGCAGAGGCTGGGCTTTTCTACCTGTGGCTAAAGGGTCACACAACTCATCCACCTCTGACCCTCAGTCCCAAACCTGTCTTGTTTCCAGCCCAGATTCCCTCAGCCAGACTGCAGATAAAACACCTGGATCTTTTGCTGGGTAGGTTTTTCTGGATAGGAAATGGAACGCACACTCCACTGTTCTTTAGAAAAATAGCACGATGGCGCTGGGCTTCTCCTTCACGTGGAGGGGAGGGCAGGAACGCTGTGCCTGTGGGTGTGGCCACTGTGCTCTTCCCTTTCCTCTGACTGTCCTGCACATGGGGAGCCCCATCCTTGGGGAAGCTGATGCCAGGCACTAACCCGTTCTGCAAAGGCAGCTTGGACTTTCATCCTATAAACTGCTCCTCTTGTCTATTAACTTGCTTTTATGTAAAGACGTTTGCCTTACATTACTATTATTTTTTTGAAACAGTCTCACTCTGTTGCTCAGGCTGGAGTGCAATGGCGTGATCTCGGCTCACTGCAACCTCTGCCTCTGGGGTTCAAGTGATGCTCATGCCTCAGCCTCCCGAGTAGCTGGGATTACAGGCATGCACCACCCCACATGGCTAATTTTTGTGTTTTTAGTAGAGATGAAGTTTCGCCATGTTGGCCGGGCTGCTCTCCAACTCCTGACCTCAGGTAATCCACCCACCTCGGCCTCCCAAAGTGCTGGGATTACGGGCATGAGCCACCGCACCTGGCCACATTCAGAGCCTTGATTTTTGTTTAGTTTAACAGCCCTGTGGTAACTTCTGGCCTTATACCAACCAGATGCAATTAAATGGATCCTCAACTTGTTCCCAAAGCATGGGTTTACTTTGGATTTCTCAATCTCATGAGTTACCCACCCCTGACCCCTGATCTCCTAGCAGAATTAACACAGATTCTAACGGCCTTTGACTTTCCCTAACACTTGGAAGTCACTGGCGATAAAGCCTTTTCTTTTTTTTTTTGAGACGGAGTCTTGCTCTGTCACCCAGGCTGGAGTGCAGTACTTGGGAGTGCAATCTTGGGTCACTGCAACCTCTGCCTCCTGGGTTCAAGCAATTCTCCTACCTCAGCCTCCCAAGTAGCTGGGACTGCAGGTGTGCATCACCACGCCCAGCTAATTTTTGTAATTTTAGTACAGATGGGGTTTCACCATATTGGCCAGGCTGGTCTTGAACTCCTAATCTTGTGATTTGCCCACTTCAGCCTCCCAAAGTGCTGGGATTATAGGCGTGAGCCACAATGTCTGGCTGATAAAGCCTTTTCTTAATGCCCTGGTGACAAGCACGGAGGTTTCACCTGCATTAGAGAACCAATGCTGACCAGACCCAAGGCAGCTGTTAAATGCATCCGTTTTTTTTTTTTTAATTCCCTCCTGCTGAGCATCTGGCAGCTCCTTTCACCACTGCTTCTGGCTGCCTCAGCGTTTACTAAGCATTTCCTATAGTCCTTCAGACCAAAGAATCACCAGAGCCACATCTACTCAACACAGAGCACTCTGTGAATGGCATGGAGCCCAAGAGCCTGGACTCCAGAGCCAAAATGCCTGGGTTTCAATCCCAGCCCTGCTATTGCCTTGCTGTGTGGCTTGGGTGCCTTGCTTAACCTTCCTGTTCCTCGGCTTGGTTCACTCATCTGTAAAAGAGGAGTAACAGCAAGTAATCATTATACACCTGAGGTGCTTGGAACAGAGCCCATCACCTTCCTGCTAGCTGCTAGGACTATATCTAAAATGAGTGAGATACCATGGCCTTGCTGTTCAAGCTGTGGCCTGGGAGGCTGCTAGAAATGCAGACTCCTAGGCCCCTGCCCGGGCCTGCTGACTGAGAATATGCACGTTCACAAGCCCCACTGGGGGAGTCGTGTACATGTTTAAGCTTGAGACGTACCTGGCTCTGCCCTCCATCCTGGGCCCTGGCGGTGGCTTAGCCTCCAGGGTGAGGAGCAGCAAGTTAGCCTCCAGGGAGTTTAGCTTCCAGGAAGAGCCCTGTGGGCGCCAGGCCCCCTCCCCCACACCCCTGGCCATGGGGAGTCAGAACAGTGCCCTCTGCTCCAGCGAGGGGACCTGTGTCTCCCCCTCCTCTCACCTTGGCCTTGGTTTGCAGCTTGTCTGGCCCTTGGGTTCCAAACTTGCTGTTTCTCATGTGTTTGTGATTTGTGAATCCCCCTCAGGCTGTGCTCTTCATGAGGTTATAACAAGTCTCATAAGCGGTGACATAAAACATTAAAACATCTTTTAACAACTGCCTCCCATTGCTCCAAAGTCCTCAACCCTAGATGGGGCTGGGCTTGGGGTCTGGTTCCCTTGATTCTGTATAATGGTCTCTGGACACACTGCCCTGATGGGTCTAGGCTCCCGGGCAGGTTGGCTGGTCCTCTCACCAGACCTGGCTCTGCAGAGAATCCCAGGCCGGGCCCCTCCCGATGTCCGCTCCCTCATCTCTGCCCAACCGGCCCCAGAGGCTGGGCTGGGGTAGTGGTGGTGGTGGGCTTTCCTAAGTAGCCTCCCCAGCCGGAGCAGAAGGACTAGACTCAGGGATGAGAGCAAAGCTCAGGGGAAAGAAACATGGGTTCTTCTCAGACCACGCCACACTCTCAGCCTCCTCACCATACACACTCCTATTTGTACCGTGGCACTGAACGCTTCTCTGCCAACGGGTGGGAGCTGCAGTTTTCCTTTAGGAAGGAATGAGTTCTATGAGGAAGACGTGGGGGTCGAGGCAGCCTAGAAAAGTGGGAAGGACAGTCACCTGGGAGCTGGGCACAGGCGCTTCCACTCCCAGGTGGGACCCTGGGTCATCTAATTTATCTGGGCCTCAAGCTCTTCCTAATGGGTTCCAACAGATCAGATCAAGCTTCTTAGCAACAGAACTCTTTAATGACAACGTCCTCAGAACCTCAAAACATAAAACTAATGTGGAGCAGGGAACTCAGAGTCTGTCTATGCCCCGGTTTCCTCATCTGTACAGTGCTAACTGCACCCACTGCACTGGGGTGTCATGAGGACTCAGTGAGGTACTATCTGTAAAGTGCTGAGAACAGTGCCTAGCACATAGTGAGCGTGGTATCAAGTACTTGTTCAATAAACTGCTCTCAAAGCAGAGGGTGACAACTGCCCTCGGGGAGAACGAGGAAAGGGGTCAAGCTTGTGTTACCTGTCAGAGCCACCCGGCTAGGCAGGGGCGCTGCCCAGTTCCCCCTGCCCCCCAGAGCCGGTGAAGGTGGTGCCAGGAGGTCCCTTACCTGCCGAGAGGTGCTGTTAACGGGATCGGGCACCGGTGCGAGAAGGCTGGGCGGGTTCTTTTTGTGAACGCTATTCATACCAGGCATTTTAGTGATTTTACAGGCTTTGCTACTAGAACTTGAGTTCTTACGCTTTTTTCCTTCTGATTTGTCAAAAGAGAGGGGCAGAGAAGACACAGCATTGTGTGAGGCCAGAGAGAGGTCCCCCGCGTGGAGCGCAAGGGAGGGCACAGAGAGGGGACAGGAGTCACTGCTGCCTCCCACCGCGCCCACCTGTCTCACTATGTCCGCGGGGCCGCCGGGCAGCGAGGTCCGTCCTGAGGGCTCCAGTTTGGCACTGAGTGGGCTCACCCCATTGTTTGAGTTGTGCACAGACAGACTGTTATAGGGAGAGGCCGCCTGATAGGAGTTCAAAGCAGAACTGGCATTCAAAACACAGTTCTTTTTGTGAGGCCCTGACAGTGGAGACGAGAGGGATGTCTGCAAGGAGGAGGAGGAGGAGGAGGAAGGCGAAGACTGCGGCTTCCTCTTTTTGTTACTTGGAGACTCGTCGCTACGGGAGGACAGGTCTTTGACTTTTGAGGATTTGCTGGTTTTGGTTTTGGATGGCTTGTGGGATGGGGAAGGGATGACAGCTGGTATCGGGGACACGGCGGATGGGGCCTTGAAGGTTGAGTCCATGATGCTGAGGGTTGCGGCCACATGAGGGAAAGCTGTGGTGTGGGACATGAGGGCGCTTGGGTCCGGCGATGTCACGAAAGCTGCATTTGAGAGCATGGCTGATGTCATTATGTAAGAAGAGGTGAGCCTTGAGCTGATGGGAGCTGAAGGAAGATACACAGCACTGGGGTTGCTGAAAGGCTGCAAAACGGATGCTGGAACAGGGGTGGTGATGTGGGCTGCCGGCGAGGGCAGGGGGCTATCTGCCGCAGGAGGGATCTTCCTAAACACGAGAGAAGAGTGAAAGACAGTCAGTGAGACATGGGGTCGGCATTGCTCGGGAGGCTCGATGACGCTTGAGCATCAGGGCTACAGAGGACACCCAGGCAGAACCAGACTATGGTGAATGAAGCCTTGAAAGATGGGAGACTCTGAAGCATGGCCCCTCCTTATGGCACCCCCCGTTGCAACATCCAGCAACCTCATTTGCATCACGCTCAGCCTTTCAGATCCTTTTCCCCAGGCTTGGCTAGTGGAGAAGGCCTGATTTTGGTTCATGAATAAAAGGTCAGTGTTATTTAGAATAGAAATTTCCCCAGTATTCTCCTCTCTCAACCCACCCCCCTCTTTTTTTTTTTTTTGGCAGCGATGAAGGTGGTTTTTAATGAGAAGTGATCATCTTACATGTAGGTCCTGGTGGCAGGTAAGAAATGTGAGGATAGGGCTTTGCTACCTGGACATAGGGGCCGGAGCTTCCCTGCTCCACCCAATCCAGCTTCTGCCCAGCGACTCTCAGGGCTTCCCACCCTGCTCTGGGCTGGAGGCAGTTGGAGAACGGTCCTCTCCAGGGCTAGCATCCTCCTGCCTTTGCTGTCTGCAGCCTCTGGTTCCCTCAGCAGAGAGCCATTTCCATATTGACTTGTGGCTGCCGGCTCCTGGTGGCTGGGCGTGAAGGGTTAGGGGTTTGGGAATGGTGAGATGACAAGTTGCCCATTCCCAAACTAGCTTTGTTTTTTCCTATACAGACCACCCTACCTTAGCTCTTGCTCACAGGAGCTGTCAGGGATACGGCTGCTGACCTTTAGCAGGTCTTCCTGTCCTGTGTTAGGAAAAGGCGAGTGTGGGACCCTCATGTGTCCAGAGAAGGGGATCAGGGATTTCTAGTTTGTTCCGAAGATAAATGTAGCATGTTAATAGGAGGAGAAAGACAGGAAGGGAGGGGAAACCCAGTTTCATTCTCTGATCTTCTTGGAGCTTGGGGGGTGCCTCAGAGCAAACTCCTAGGAGCCAAGGCCAGCATTAGGCTGTGGCTTACTCTTGGGGCCTCCCTGCTAACTCCTTTGCTCTGGGAGTGACTCCTCCTTCCATTCTACAGCCTGGGGTGCTGATGCTGCTGCTATTCTGGAGACCGGGAGGAGGTACGGTGGCCACAGGGAAAGCACAAGGTCCTTGGGAGCCAGGTAAATGTGCTCAAGCTGGTCCTTTCCTGTTTCTCACTTTGCTCCTTCTCCCGGTCTCCCTGGGAAATCATTTTCACCATAGCTGGGGCTCGCTAGCAATTAGGAACCAGCTTTCCTTCTTTGAAAGCAGCACATGAGGTGAGCAGGCCTAGAGCCTGTGACCCAGTGGGTTAGAACACATGCCAGACAGGGTCTCACACCACCCTTTCTCTTCTTTGGAGGCCACTCTCCCAGCTGTAGCATCAGGAACAGGTGCCAGGGAACTCTGGAAAGAGGAACTGCTGAGAGATAAACGTTTCTCCTAGCATTCCTCTCTCTGAAGATTCTGCTCTTGGTCTGCACTTTGTTGGAGCCTGTAGCATCTATCTTTAGGGTGGAATCCAGAGGAATCCTTGTCCTTGAAAATGTCAGACCAAAGGGATCAAATATAAGAGAAAAATGTTGCCAAACTCACAGTGGCCATGATGGTGTTGGGAATTTATTTTCTCTCAAGCCTAAAGAAGGTAAGAGATCTGTCAGCACTCAGCAAGGTGCCCCACAAATACTTGTTGCAATGAATGAGTGAATGAATGGATGGATGAATGGGCAGGTGGATGGGTGAGCAGGTGGATTCTTGGCGGCACCATACCCGATTGTTAGGGACTCTGCATGCTGGGCAAGGACTCCCACATGATCAGACTGGAAATGTCTACACATGTCCTTAGAACTGCATGGCACCGTACAACCCCTTCCTAACAGGGGCGGGGAACATTTCTTAGAAGGGGAGGCGCCTCCCAACTTTCCTGCTGCTTTTGTTGCCTTCTGTGGTACTATAAGCAACCCACTCCATCTTTCCTTGACTTCAAGTTTGCTTACCCACTAAAGTATAGATAGAAATACATGTGGGCAGAGGTTTGGCAGTTGCTTGTAATAAAAAGTTATTTACAAATACCAGATGGCTCATTTAGAGAGGATCCCAATCAATGATTCTGAATGGGAGCCATTTTTAATCTCTCAATTTATAATTTTCCAATTAAATAGTATAAATTTACGCTTCAACTCATGCTGACTAGCAGAGCTGAGTCCTAAATCTCATCTGACTGGCACTCAGGACTGGGATGGGAGCTCTTTTGGGGCACATTTTCTATCCCTTTCTTGCCTTACTAATCATACATGTGGATAGCAGTGGTGGGAGGGGAGACAGGGTGGGGGAAACAGGGCGAGGGGCATGTGGCAGCTCCCTGTCCCCAGGAGTCCCTCCCCCTCCAAGGCTAAACAGTTTATGTATTTTTCTAGGTGCCAAATGGCAGGGGATTTCAGCTTTGCTGGGCTGTGCTCTGGTTTAAGCTTTGCACACTGGCCCAGGGAAGTCCCATACTAAAGCCCACAGATGCGAATAAATCACTGACAGTGCCCATCCTCCCCTGCCAGGTGGCGTGGAGGTCCAGATGCTGACCTGGCTGAAAGAGAATACTGTGTTGGCGGCTCCTGATGCAGAGTTAAATGCTTGTTAAAGAAAAAAGAGTCTTGGCCGTTCCTTTTCTTCCTAATGTCTTCCACGCCCCCATCGGCTGCCATCCCTCCAGGTTCGGGCCCGCCTGGGCCTGGGGTTTGGGCAGCGAGGTTGAGAGGGTAGCGGGGTGCTACACTCTCCAGAGTTGACACCCAGGCAGCCCCAATGTTGCTCAGTGACAGCAGATTGGTTAGGCAAGTCCTGAACAGGGGGGAGGGACCTGATGCCCTGTGGCTCGGGCTTCTGTGCCTGAGGAGGAAAGGAATATGGAGCTTGAGCTGACAGGACAGCAGGGAGTGAAATACAGATCAACACATTCCTTCCACGTATCCGGGATTGATACTTCCATAACACAGGCAGCAAGGAGCTTCGAGGATCACCAGGGCTGGCTGCCATCTTGGGAAACAAGCGCAGAGCCTCAATCACCAAGTAACTGAGAGCATGGTCACCTCACATGCAGCACCAATTTGTTGTTGTTTGGAATGGACACATGTAAATATCAAGGGTGCTATTTATTTATTTATTTATTTATTTTGAGACGAAGTTTCTCTCTTGTTACCCAGACTGGAGTGCAATGGCACGATCTCGGCTCACTGCAACCTCCGCCTCCCGGGCTCAGGCAATTCTCCTGCCTCAGCCTCCTGAGTAGCTGGGATTACAGGCACGCGCCACCATGCCCAGCCAATTTTTTATATTTTTTTAGTAGAGACGGGGTTTCACCATGTTGACCAGGATGGTCTCAATCTAATGACCTCGTGATCCCAAAACTTGCCTCGGCCTCCCAAAGTGCTGGGATTACAGGCTTGAGCCACCGCGCCCGGCCTAAGGGTGCCCTTTAGACACACTGGGAAGTCACTTAAATGGGAAGAAATGATAAGCTTCTCTTGTGGCCCTTACCTACCTTATAGTAAATCTTAATATTTAGTCCTAAGTCTGGCATGAGAGCTCAATGCAGATACAAATGGGGCTCTCTTCTCCTATAAGTTCAGGTCTGGAAGCTCTTTAGGCTTCCAGAAAGGGGCCTGAGGTATCATAGCTGCCTGGGGGGAGAGGAGGAAACCTGGGAGAGGGGTAAATTTTGACTTCTGTTCCCTCCCATTTCTTATGAATGCCCTCCTTGTTTCTAATGGGCCTTAGTGGGCAGGTTGGGGGGGGCCTCAGCTGTTGTCCTTCCTGGACTATCTAGGCCCAGATTTACATGATCCATGACTCCAGTGGACAATGATATATTGAGAGCTCATCATTGTAGGAGTGGGGGATGGGGATACCCAGTGGGCTGCCCTTACATTATCAAGTGGCCAAAATGGTACGCACTTACGTACTGTGGTTTGAGAGGGTCTAGGCCTATTATTTCTTCCCAATAGCATTCTTTCTTCTCTGTTTATGAATCCCTTTAAGATGTAAGTACACTGGGAAGTGGATAATAAGGGAACTTAAGAGAAAGGGAACATAATAGAGTTCAGGGTAGAGAATTACAAGTGAGGTGGGGGGGTCCTAGGGAGACAGGAAGGGCCAAAGACAAACTTAACCAACTTCACAGCATTGCTCAGGATCTGCCCTGTTGGTAGGTATACAGATGCTTTCACAGGACAGCAAACAATTAGAAATTGGTTCACACCATTATGAAATCTTTAGTTTCTTTTTTTTTTTTTAAATGGAGTCTTGCTCTGTCACCCAGGGTGGAGTGCTCAAACTCCTCCTCCTGGGTTCAAGAGATTCTCCTGCCTCAGTCTCCTGAGTAGCTGGGATTCCAGGTGTGCACCACCAGCTAATTTTTGTATTTTTAGTAGAGACGGTGTTTGACCACGTTGGCCAGGCTGGTCTTGAACTCCTGACCTCAGGTGATCTGCCTGCCTCAGTCTCCCAAAGTGCTGGGATTACAGGCGTGAGCCACTGAGCCTGGCTGAAATCTTTATTTTTGATATTGTGGCATTAACATTACAAATAGAAGCATGTTCTTTTTTTTTTAAATAAGAAAAAAATATATTTTTTTCTTTTAAATGGGGTTTCACCATGTTGGTCAGGCTGGTCTTGCACTCCCATCCTCAGGTGATCCACCCGTCTTGGCCTCCAAAGTGCTTGGATTACAGGTGTAAGCCACCACGCCCGGACTTTTTTTCTTTTTTTAAGAGAGCGGGTCTTGCTCTGTTGCCCAGGCTGAGTGCAGTGGTACAAGCATAGCTGTGACCTTGAACTCTTGGGCTGAAGCAGTCCTCCCACCCCAGGCCTTCCAAGTAGCTAGGATCATAACTGTTTGTCACCACACCCAGCTAATTTTTAAAAATTATTTTTTGTAGAGATGAAGTCTTGCAATGTTGCCAAGCCTGGTCTTGAACTCCTGGCCTCAAGTGATCCTCTTGCCTCGGACTCCCAAAGTGCTGGGATTATAGGCATGAACCACTGCATTCAGCCAGAAGCATGTTGTTAATATCCTTAGATTCTCTAGGAGCAATGAAAAGGCCCTTAAACACAGGTAAACAAACGATATCTAATATCCTTCCCATTTAGATTACCAACACAAAAATAGTCTCCAAAAAAGACAAAGCATGTAACACATCATTCGTGTTTCTCAAAACCTTCAGGCAAACCATTAAGAAGAGCTGGCATTTAAGAATTAATCAAGCATCCTGATTTCAGAATGATTTTGTTGTATGAAAAGTTAACCACTGACATTTATATAGAAAGTTAGGTTTCAGGTAACTGTGGGGCAGCTCAGATCTTATATTGCACAAAAGCTGCTCACTTACTTCCACATCTGTGAATTCAGGTGTTTTTCTACCATGGAGTTTAGTGCGAATCGAAAACGATCCCATCTTCTATCAAACACATAGTACCCTCGTCCCATGAGGCGACTCCCAAATGAGCAAAACTGTGAGAAAAAAAATTTTTAATTTTGATTACAGGTTAATAAACTAATATAAACTACACAGAGAAAAATAACATTTGCATAAAAGCACACAGGGGCACAATTTTACTCAAAATGAAGCAACAAATCGTACTGAAGCCAAAAATATTTCTGCAGTGCTGTAGTTCGAGCTCTGAATTTTCTGCAGAACCTCACATTACAACTCAACAATAGGTACATTTGATTTTGAGCGGGCTACGTTCTCCACGCCTGTTATCCCAGCATTTTGGGAGGCTGAGATGGGAGGATCACTTGAGGTCAGGAGTCCCAGACTAGCCTGGCCAACATGGTGAAACCCCATTTCTACTAGAAATACAAAAATTAGCCAGGTGGGATGGTTCGTGCCTGGGATCCCAGCTCCTAGGGAGGCTGAAGAAGAAGAATCGCTTGAACTTAGGAGGTGGAGGCTGTAGTGAGCTGAGATTGTGCCACTGCACTCCAGCCTGGGTGACAGACTGAGACTGTGTCTCAGAATAAATAAATAAATAAGTAAAATAGAGAAGCAATAATCAGCACCCAGGGTGAATTTTCAGAACCATCCATTTGTCCTATTACCAGCCACATTTTCTCAAGGAACTTGGTGGTTCCTGCTTCTCATCACGGTAATGAAAATTGCTTGTGCTGGTGTCGCAGGTCCCACCTTTCCTATCTGATGTCAACAGAGCCACTTTGCTTCCAGCCAGGCTGAATGGCTTCCTTTGCTAGTCCCAATCCCATTTCTGCCTCCAATCAGTCTTTGCAGGCTGTACTGGGACACAACACCACCTTGAAGCTTTTGCTCCTGCTGTTCCTTCTCCCTGCTATCTCCTTTCCTCTTGTTCTTTTTTAAAAAAATTATTTATTTATTTATTTATTTATTTATTATTTTTATTTTTTGAGATGAAGTTTCACTCTTGTTGCCCAGGTTGGGGCGCAATGGTACAATCTCGGCTCACCACAACCTCCACCTCCCAGGTTCAAGAGATTCTCCCGCCTCAGTATCCCAGTAGCTGAGATTACAGGCAGGCACCACCATGCCCAGCTAATTAATTTTCTTTGTATTTTCAGTAGAGACGGAGTTTCTCCATGTTGGTCAGGCTGATCTTGAACTCCCGCCTCGGTCTCCCAAAGTGCTGGGATTATAGGCGTGAACCACCGCACCCAGTCCTTCCCTCTTCTTTTTGTCAATCCCAATTCACCCCTCTCTCTTCTGGTTCCCTTATCGACATTCTCATTTCCAGGGGCTCTCATCTGAGTGATCCTCCCACTGTGAATTCCCATGGCACACCCATTGCCTACTTCATTACACTTAGCCTCGGACTCACGACATGGCTGTTTTATGTTATATACAGGATGCCTACATACCTGACTCGACTATCAGTTTATAGACAGTAGAGCTCATTCTTTTCCATCTCCTCAGTATGAGGACTGTAGGCATTTGGGCAACAAATGGATTGGGGAGACAGGAATCCAGAAAATATTTAAAGCACACTATCCCTCTTAAAATATGTGGATGAAATATTGGCATTCGGATGTTTAATAAACATTTGATCATAATATTAGGACAACCGGAAGGCTAGCAGACAGAAATGCAAGACGCAGCCTCTGAGAAGGTGGCATTTGGCTGGTTTAGGGCTCAGGCGAGTTTGCAAATGACTCTATAACTCAAAAGCAGCTCTCCCCGTTCCTCCAGGCCTCCCAGCAGCTCCCTGGCCTTTATCCCAGACACAGGGCTGGATTGGCACTCATTCCACAAACCCATCCTGGAACCAGCCTTTGGAACCGTTCTCAGGAGGAAAGGCAAGACCTTCCCTTTGTTCTGTTTCCATTGGCATTTTGGGGGGTTTTGCATTAAAATCTTGTCACCCATCTAGTACTGTTGATGAAAAACGCTTCTCTGCACTTTCATGTTAAGTGCTTACTGACCAGCAAGAAAACATACAAAGAGAATTTTCCGACACAGAAACTGGTCCCCGGCAGCACATGGGAGCTGTTCCAGGTCTAGACATAATTTCTTCCCTCATCCCAATTGCTAAAGATGCACCGAGCAAGCATCCATTACAAACAATGATTTAATGTATCAACTGGCCACAAGAGAAAGGACAAAGCAAAGACACACATCCATGGCTTTTCCATTTAAATCAGCAAAACATTCAGGGCACACAGCTGCGCCACATCCCGAGTTTAGCAAATCCACTGTAGCTTGGCAGCTTGTCATTTGGACAAATGTCTTGATGTGCTCCAGAGTCTGGCCTTCTGGAGAGCCTCATATCTCTTTCAGACTCAGGAGCTGGAGGCACCGTTTTGTCTTTGCTACCTGTGCATCTGATTCCGTACGGATGTGAGGCTTGGCCCTGAGAGGCTCCAGTTCCCAGCTGGCATGTTACGCCTCCAGCAGAGCTGTAGATCCTCACTGCGTGGGCCACCGTGGCAGACCCTACTGGTTGCCAACCTCACCAACTGCCACCCACTCCCACCTCTCTCTGTCTTTTCCTTGCTAACAGAATCGTACTTTTGTTCTTATATCTGACACAGCAGTACTCAAGTGGGTCTCCTCCCAGAACCTTGGAATGAATCATGGCTGGTTCCTCCTGCGTCTCTGTAACCCCTTCCTTCTCTGCTGCCAACTGATCTAGGGGTGGGCATGTGATCCATTTCTGTTAGATATAGGGGGAAGTCTGCTGGGGGTTTCATAGGAAGATTTTCTCTCCTAACATAAGGCAGCATCTTGGAAGAAGTCCCCTTTTCTGTTTGTCCCTTTCCAACCTGAGAGGCACACCACTGGGTGAGGATGTAATATCGGAGCTGCAGCTGACATACTGGGACCATGTGTGAAAGGTAGAGGGAGTTGCAGAGATTGTCCCTCAGCCACATGACATTGTGGAGAAGCTGAACCAAGCTTGGGAGCACCTGCCTCCAGACTCCCTGCTATGTGAGATAATTAAATGACCTCAGCGCTTGTGCCAGATGAGCTGAGTTTTCTACTTCTGGCAGTCAAAGGCTGAATCGTCCCTGACTATTTTCTGTACTAACCAAGAGGCAAAGTCTCAGGCTGATGGTGAGCCGCAGGTAAGCATTATCCTCAGGAAAGGGAAGTGAACTTGGCCTTCATTCATGACATGGAGAGGAGGGAAGAGGGATTCACTCTATCTTGATATAGGAGCAGGATGGATTTCATTTACAGTCTAGAGACAGTCAGAGCTGATCTTGAAGGACTCAGGCTGGCACCATGGGGTCCCATGTTCTAGGCCCCTACATTCGGCTCTGTGATGGCAGCACCAGGTATTCCCTTCTCAAGCGCTTGCAGGCAAGCAATAAACAAGCCTTCAGTGGATGCCTGCTGTTTCCCACCTCAGTTTCAATGACCTTCTGAATTGTCAGTGCATACTCATTCAAGGAATTGGAAAGAAAGTACCCTTTTTTATTAATCAGTAATCATGGTGACCTGAAATGCTTCCTCTTTCCTTCAACACACATACACACTCAGTTCTGGTGCCATCTGGTCACATAACACTAATACTTAGAACCAACAGGGGAGAATATCAGCAAGGGCTGGCTCCTGACATGCTGCTGAGAAAGACGGCTTCCCGAGCAGGTGAACCCAGCTAACCCTGGACATCAGAGGCTCCGTTTTTAGATGGCCAAGGCCAGAGGGTCAGCTCCTGAGCGCACTTACAGAAACACAATTTCTCAAGCATGCTCACTTCAGGCAGGCCATAAATACTCAGGATTATCCCTTTTTTCCTTTTATTAGTATGTGGAAGTACTCAGGATTATAATCAGCTGGGAGCCTATTCCTTTCCTTTTGCAATATTCAAGGGTATTTCTAAGGCAATCATTCAAACTCATGATAAGCCTTTTTGTAAAACACTGCACAAACAGCCTTGCCTCAGGAAGGATCAAGCCTCTGGTATGATCACCTAAGCGCCTGCAAAGCATAGGCAAGGAACGCATGGCAAGGAACAGGAGGAGGCCTACCGCAAGAGGTCTGGGGTGGTGTGTGGAGAACTGACAGTCTAGCTTCTCGGGTTCGTCGGCTCCGTCCATCTCCCCTTCATCACTGGACAGTCGGCTGGCAAGGTCAACTCCAACCGGTGGCAGTGGGGGCTCTGGAGTGTGGCCGCTATGATTTGAAGACGTGCTGCTGCTTATGCTATTTGCAGATGATGGTCTAAGGGCAAGAGAGGAGGACAAACAAAATAAACCCAATAAACCTTTTCTGAGATAACAAGATCCACCCAGTTTAATGGTGTTCAGAAAGCATGATTAAGGCTGGTGCGGTGGCTCACGCCTGTAATCCCAACACTTTGGGAGGCTGAGGCAGGCCGATCATGAGGTCAGGAGATCAAGACCATCCTGGGCAACATGGTGAAACTCCATCTCTACTAAAATACAAAAAATTAGCCAGGCGTGGTGGCGCATGCCTGTAGTCCCAGCGACTCAGGAGGCTGAGGCAGAGGAATCACTTGAACCCAGGAGGTGGAGGTTGCAGTGAGCCGAGATTGCACCACTGCACTCCAGTCTGCTGACAGAGCAAGACTCCGTCTCAAAAAACAAACAAACAAAGAAACCAGCTTGATTAGCCTTGTCAATACTTCAGGGCGGGCACATCAGTGGTGACTTTGCACAAGGGGAAACAATCAAGTTTGAAGGGTTTGCAGTGACCATCTCTCTCCAGGGACCCAGTTAAGTTAGGTTCTGCCCCACTTGCTGTCTCTGGGGCAGATGACAGGAATGATGGAAAAGCCCAACAGTGTAAGTGGAACGTCAAATGTGGGAATGTGACAAAGTGAAATGAACCGGAACCAGTCTTCTATGGATTCAGTTACAACTATTCACCCATTTGCAGGTAAGTAAGTTGCACTTGCCATCCAATTGCTTTTCTTTGAAAGTGGAACCTGGCAGGAAGATCAACCAAGGTAAACAAGATCAGAGCAATTACCAAAATACCAGTAATGAAGAAACACAGTCAGTCCTTTGGATACATTCTTTGACACAAAGCTACGACTTTAGGAAACTGTTATCATGCCAGCCTGTTACTTAATGTTGAGCCGTGTGTAGTTTAAATGTATTTTCTGAGAATGAGTGTTTTAATTTACTTTATTGTATTTATTTATTTTTTTGAGACAGTCTCACTGTGTCCGCCAGGCTGGAGTGCAGTGGTGCCATCTCAGCTCACTGCAATCTCTGCCTTCCTGGTTCAAGCGATTCTACTGCCTCAGCCTCCCGAGTAGCTGGGATTACAGGCACCTGCCACCGTGCCTGGCTAATTTTTATATTTTCAGTGGAGAAAGGCTTTCACCATGTTGGCCAGGATGGTCTTAAACTCCTGACCTCAGGTGATCCGCCCACCTTGGCCTCCCAAAGCGCTGGGATAACAGGCATGACCCACTGTGTCCTGCTTCAATTTACTTTTTGACAAGCCTTTTATGTACTGTGGGGTATGATTGGCTCACAGTAGGTGCTAAAGAGAGATTTTTCTCAATGAATGAAATGAATGAATGAATTCTATGTGTGTATAAAACAACCCAACAGATGTCATCTTAATTATGGTTAAGCTTATAAAAAGCAATGTCACAATAAGAGGCAGAACTACCTGCTTCCTAGGCAGTAAAAAACAAAACAACACAAGAAAAAACCAAAATCAAACACACCCACATTAGCAGAAGAGTTAGATGAGGAATAGTCACAGTTAACTGCTACTAGTTTTTACTACTTCTCCACTTCCATCAGGTGATTAAGCAGGGAGAGGTGAGAAAGTCAGGGAGAAAAAGAAGTTTTTGAGGAAAAAAAATTGTTTTTCTGCTTTCTGCTTTGAAAGCTGCTCCTTCAAGTCTCATGAAATAGCACTGCTGATCTGTCTCCCTTCTCTCTTATTTTTACCCTGGATTCTCTGTTGCTTCAAAATCTTTTCAGGTCTCAAATACTTGAACTTAAACCAGTATACCACTTAAAAACAAACCCACAAAGGTGAAAACAACCCAGGTGTCCATGAGCTGATGACAGGATAAACAAAATATGGTATATCCATCCAATGGAATATTATGCAAGCCTTAACAAGAAATGAAATTCTGCTATGATATGAATGACACTTGAAAGCATCACACTAAATAAAATAAGCCAGACACGAAGGACAAATATTGGGTGGTTCCACTTATATGAGATACTGAGACAGAAAGTAGAAAAGAGTTATCAGGAGTTGGAAGGAGGGGGAATAGGGAAGGGGTGTTTAATGGGTATACAGCTTCAACTGGAGATGAAGAGAAAGTTCTGGAGATGGATGACAGTATGAGTACACACCACTGTGAATGTGCTTAATGCCACTAAACTAGACACTTAAAAATGGTAGATTTTGAGTTACGTGTATTTTACTAGGAAAAGAAAACAAGGCCATATGTAGTTTTTCAGTGTCATGACAAGAATTCTGTTGGGATGACAATTTATTTTGGACTATCACCTTCCTGTTCTATAAAAGCAAAGATGCCATTCATTCTGCGTGTCCACAGGCCAAAGAACACATCTCCCCAGGCATTCCTCAATACCTGCTCTTCTGTATCAGGAGGGGCAACAATGCTATTGTCTGCTTACTGATGAAGACCCAAATAATAAAAGCATTTAGATGAGGCTGAAACATAAAAACAAACAAACAAACCAACCAACCAACCAGTATCCATAACTCTGCCACCCAAGATCAAGTGTTATTAGCATTTTGATTTCCATCCTTCCAGACTTTGTTACTGTGCACACACATCAAATTCAGTTGAAAGCAAGAACTGGATCACACGATCACACTGAACACGAAATGTGAACAGTACATACTATTTTGAGATATGCTTTTTTAAAAACCTAGTGATGTTGTAGAAGTGTTTCCATGTATAGAACTACATCACGTTTAGTATTCCCAGTAATCCATAGTATGAATATGTCATAATTTACTTAATGAATCGTCTATTGATGAACATTTGTTTCCAAACTTTCTGACAGGCTCTCTCTCTGTGAAGCCCTCTCCATCATGATAGGACCTCCTTGTCCTGCATGAGATAGGTAAAACGGAACTAGATTTTATTGTGATAATAGCATCATGGCTATGTAGGGAATTCCTTCTTTTCATGTACTAATTTTTACTGTTTAGAGACAAGATCTCGCTCTGTCACCCAGGCTAGAGTGTAATGGCATGATCATGGCTCAATGCAGCTACAAACTTCAGGGCTCAGGAGATCCACCCACCTCAGCCTTGTGAGTAGCAGGGGCTATAAACATGTGGCACAACATCAGGCTAATTTTAAAGTATTTTATAGAGACAGGGTCTTGCTTACGTTGCTCAGACTGGTCTCAAACTCCTGGCCTCAAATGATCGTCCTGTCTCAGCATCTCAAAGTGCTGGGATTGCAGGTGTGAGCCACTGTTCTAGGCCTGTCTTTACCTTTACTTATTTATTTATCTTTTTTTGAGACAGACTCTTGCTCTGTCGTCCAGGCTAGAGTGCAGTGGCATGATCTTGGCTCACTGCAATCTCCACCTCCTGAGTTCGAGCGATTCTCCTGTCTCAGTCTCCTGAGTAGCTGGAACTATAGGTGTGTGTTACCATGCCTGGTTAATTTTTGTATTTTTAGTAGAGATGTGGTTTCACCATGTTGGCCAGGCTGGTCTCGAACTCCTGACCTAAGGTGATTCACCTGACTCGGCCTTCCAAAGTGGTGGGATTACAGGTGTGAGCCACCATACCCTGTCTTTACTTTTTAAAGATGCCTTTGGAAGGCTTTTGAGGTGAAATGCCATGGTACTTACAATTTATGGCAAAATACAACATCAAAAAATGTAGATGAAGCAAATTTAATCGCAAAATATTAATATAGTATCTGTTAAAACTAGACATGTGGGTTTTATACTAGTCTCTCTTCTATACATGGGAAAAATTTTATAATGAAAAGTAGAAAAAACAAAAACAAGAAGAAAATAGGGTTGGTACTATAGGTATATATAAGAAAGTTACTGAAGAACTTCCTATTTTTTGGCATTTTATTTTTCTTCAGTTTTTTGAGGTATAACATCTTATGATACATAAATAAAATTGTATATATTTTAGGTATACGATGTGATTTGATGTATGTATACATTGTAAAATGATTACCATAATCAAGTTAGCTAACATACGTCACCTCACAGTTACCGTTTTTTTGTTTTTCCATGGTGAGAACACTTTTTTTATGTTTTAGAGACACGGTGTCTCTCTGTCTCCCAAGTTGGAGTGCAGTGGAGCAATCACGCACTGTACTCACGGGAACTTCTGTGCTCACGGGATTTTCCAACCTCAGCCTCCCAAGTAGCTGGGACTACAGGCATGAGCCACTGAGCCCAGTGAAATACGCTTAAGATCTACTTACTTACTTAGCAAATTTCAAGTACACAATATAGTATTATTAACTAGAGTCACCATGCTAGAGATTAGATCCCCAGAGTGTATGCATCTTGTAACTGAAAGTTATCTAATATCTCCCATTGCTCCCAACCCTTAGCCCCAAACAAGCGGCATTCTATTCTCCCTTTCGGTGAATTTGGCTTTTTTAGATTCCACCTATAAGTAAAATCATACAGTAGTTGTCATTCTCTGTCTAATTTCTTTCTTTTTTTTTTTTTTTTTTTTTTAGACAGAGTTTCGCTCTTGTTACCCAGGCTGGAGTGCAATGGCGCGATCTCGGCTTACCACAACCTCCACCTCCTGGGTTCAGGCAATTCTTCAGCCTCGGCCTCCTGAGTAGCTGGGATTACAGGCATGTGCCACTGTGCTCAGCTAATTTTTTGCATTTTTAGTAGAGACAGGGTTTCACAATCTTGACCAGGATGGTCTTGATCTCTTGACCTCGTGATGCACCCGCCTCGGCCTCCCAAAGTGCTGGGGTCTGTCTAATTTATTTCATTTAGCCTAATGCCCTCAAGTTCATCCATGTTGTTGGAAATGGCAGAATTTCTTTTTTACTGTTAAATAATATCTCTTTTTATATATATGTATATATGCACATATATACACATATACATACATATATACACATATATAGATTATTATATAAAGAGATATTTATATATGTATATATACACACATATATAAAAAGAAGTATTATTATTATTGTTATTTATTTATTTATTTTTGCGACGGAGTCTCCCTCTATCGTC